TCATCATCATCATCATCATCATCATCATCATCATCATCATCATCATCATCATCTTCATCAGTTATTTGGAGAAATGGAGGTGCCTTTAAGTATATTGACAATGAAGCCGAAAAAGAGCCTTGCTCTCGCTCGAAGATTTCTTCGATGAGTCCACCAAGCCCAATAAGGAAACCAAAAAATCATCATCATCATCATCATCATCATCATCATCATCATCATCATCATCATCATCATCATCATCATCATCATCATTACTCAAGTTGAGACCCCGACAACTCACCAGTGTCGCTGAAGTCGTCCACCAGGATCAGCCTGTCCAGCAGCGGCCCGGGAGTCCGGCCCAGCACAGAATGGACAGTCCGGAGTAGCACGGATAGAGCCTCGTTGTGGAAGCAGATGACCACGGAGGCTCTCAGCTGGCCTGTCTGGTTGTACGCCGCAGCGGCTGGACATCTGTGGGAGCAGAATAAAGGTTGTTTGATAAAAGGGTTTGGTTCCAGATACAAAATGATTCTTAAAATATGTATACGAACTGTCAATTTTCGAGTTTTGGGGGGGTTTTAATGTATGCCAAAAAGTTATTTTGGATCATATTTCTTTTCTTTTCTTTTTTTTCAACGAATTGCACAGGCCCGAAATCGACCATTTGGTGATGAGGAAAAGTGAGACAAACAAGGGCCACTGGGAAAGTAAATAAGTGGGACCTACTAGACGTGCCTTACACCCAATCTCCATCCCCATCCTCACCCCTAGCCTCACCCTACCCCACCCCCACCTCACCCTGTTTGCTTGAAATGAATGTTTATCTGCCTGGTAATAGACGTATGCAAAAGTACTCGCAGATGTTGCACAGAAGAAGGAAACGGCAATGTTGACTAACGAAATTTATTTGATAAAAGTGTACGTTTTTAATTTGAAACCCACAAGACAAACTATGACTTTCATTGTTACCTAATACTATTTTTCATTTAGCACATATACATTATTGAAATATACTTCGAAAGACAGAATGAGTTTTGTTGATTTTGAATGAATGCCATCCAAGATTCATATTCGTCTTCGACAGATGACATAAAAATCCCCGAGTCAGTTGGAACAGACTTTCTGTCTTGTCCTCTTTGGAAACTTCATTGTCCTTAATAAGCTTAAGTGTATAATTGATGTCTCCTGGTGACACTGAAAAGGGTTGATGGGGAGGAGCGGTGGGGTTGAAGACTGTGACAGGAGGGGAAGGGGTAGGAGGGGTCTTTGATATGTCATTGTCCATGCTGGGTTCTGTCTTCCCAATCATTGTTTTGAGCGATGCGTCGTCCTCTGATGAATCCTTCACGTGCGGGAATCGGTGTCTCTATCAATTACTTTGGTTATTTTTGTCGTGAATGGCAAATGGAATTGCAAGGGTTAACAAAGCATGTCGGTCCGGGGAAGGCTGGAGGGGTTGAGAGAGGGGGGTTGAACGAGGAGAAGGAAGCAGCGGGGGGAGGAGGAGACATTTTCATTTTTAGATTTCAAAGGTTCTATCTGCTATATTATTATCTATTGTTGTACACAGTGTGGTACTCATAAGCACATCCGCTTTGACGCGAGGGAATTGGTTAGGCCCTGCCATCTCCGCCTGAATGGTACAATCACGTGACAGCTGCCCAAACACTGTGCGGTTCTTGGTTCTTTCTCTGGTGAGGAGGAGAAGGAAAAGGAGGGGTAGTTTCCTTTTCAGATCCAGAAGGTTCTATTTACTAACAATCTCTACCCGAATGTGGGGATCACGTGACTGCTGCCCACCAACGTACGGTATGCTTCTTTTTCTGAGGAGGAGGAGGGTAAGAAGA